CAGCCTGCCAGCTCTCCTGGGCTCACACCACCAGACCAGCTCTCTCCCTCTGTTGGCCGTAGGTAGGGCCAACTTTCCCAAGAGCAGCTGCTGGCTTCAGACTGCAGCACAGACCATGAACATCTGCATAGCCTTTGGCTGTGGATATCAACATAGACCCCGGGAGCAGTAGGAACATGGGCACAGACATCACCATGGCCTCAGGTGGCAGAGCAGGTCTCTCCCATCAGGCAGTTCCATGCATGATTTTATAAGAAAACAAGCTTATTTCTCTGTTATATTGACTGCTATGCTTTCCCCTTTCTGGTGAGACGGGCTTAGGCCTGTGCCCTAGCCTCAGTTTCCCTGTGGTAAAGCAGGCCATCAAGTTCAGTGACTGTCAAGGATCCTCTGACAGCTGCATGCTGAGTGTTTGCTTTGATACCATGCCCATTTTGCCACAGGATCTCCAGAAGTTGGTAACACAAAGTTTTTTTTTTTTTTTTTTTTTTTTTTTTTTTTTTTTTTTGACTGGGTTTAATTTAACTTTTTCAGAGTACATTTCTATCAGAAAGTCGTCAGGCCTTATTGTCAGAGATGTCTTAAAGGTATTTCCGAACTTGTTTCTTATTCTTCGCTTGACAAGGGCTGTCACCAGGCTCCATCACTCCCAGGCTAACAGCTACCAATAAACAGAGAATTATTTCCCACCAGCTAACACACTGTTTACTTTCCAGAAAAATTGCACTTTCCAATCTGACAGTTGATCAAGGGCGTCCCGCTGCTGTCAGCAGGAAGAAATGTTTAAACACAGAGATGGGAGTTTAAACATTTTCTCATTATCACAGAATAAGAAGAAAAAACACAAATAAATAAATAAGTAAAAAATGGCATCCAGCCTCTCTGGCCCCCTGCTGGGAGCGTAATGAAGCTGTGTCATGTGACCAGAAGGAGTGGGCTTTTATCTCTGGCCTCAGTATCTTACTCAAGTGACACCTGTCACATGACCCAACTTAGGTCTTTTATCAGCCTTCCCCAGGCACCCTTTTGGGGAATTGTCTTTCCAGAGCCTTGTGGCCCTGAGCAGCCATTGTCGTGGGCACTGTTAGAATCTCTTAGATTCCCCAAATGTGTTTAAACGTAGTAAATGACAAAACTAAAAGAAAACACAAAAAGATGTGGTGGAGGGAGGGGGAATCTATTGTCATTCTTCTATTTCATGTGAGTTTGCAGGGATTGGAGCCTGTCTGTCGAAAGTAATATGTCTGTATTTTCAAACGTTGGTCATTAGTTTTGAATCTGTGCATTAGAGCATGAGTTCAGACCATGAAAGCCTAGTGTCTGCATCAGGACCACACCTAGCCAGGCTCAGGATCAAACCCAGGCACAGCAGAGGCAGAAGCGGCTGAGGGCACCCTCCCCAGCCCCCCCCCCGCCATACTCTGGAGACTGTGTTTCTTATTGTCCTCTTGCCTTCCTTCCTAGGTCTTTTGCATAATTCTCTCCTCTGTGTTCTTTCCCTTTCTCTTTACTGGTCCCCAGAACCACCTGTACTACTATTATCACAAGCAGTTTTTAAAGCACCTACTATGCACCAGGCACTGTTTAAAACAACTCCAGGGTGGTAGTTTGTTTGCTTGCAGGCAGCTCCCTGAGAGAGACTGTCATTTGCACTTTAAAAAAAAGGAGATGAGCAGACAAGGTGGCTCATGCCTGTAATCCCAGGGAAGGTTTAAGCAGGAGTATTGCCAGAAACCTGAGGTCAGCCTGTGCTACACAGTGAGTTCTGTCTCAGAAAACAAACGAATGAACAAGAGGAAGTGCTAGTTCAGAGAAGCAAGAAGCACTTGCACAAGAAGTACATGAAGCCCCTTGCACAAGTAGTACATGAAGCCCCTTGCACAAGCACTATGTGAAGCCCTTTGTACAAGCAGTATAAGAAGCCTTTTGCAAAAGCAGTTAAGTGGCAGAGCCAGATCTGAGCAAAAGGAACCCAATTCTGCCTGATTCTGCAGCCAGTTTAGCTTGTTAATATCTTCTTAAATTTTATTTTATTATATGTATTGATATTCTGCCTGCAAGTGTATGTCTGTACACCACATACATGTGTCTTCAGAGGCCAGCAGGATTTTCATGGAACTGTCTAGAGTTATAGACAGTTGTAAGCTGCCAGGTAGTTTCTGGGAATCAAACTTGGGTTCCCTGGAAGAGCAGTCAATGCTCTTTACTGCTAAGCTGTCTCTCCAGTTCCCCTGTTAATATTTGTGTTTGTGTACTGTTTCCTTTGCTTCTTTCTACCTCATAAGTCACACTTCTTAAGCTTTTCTCTTGTTTCCTTTTTCTTTTTCTTTGTGAAAAAGTCTCACGATGTAGCCCTGGATGGCTTAGAATTCTAATAGACCAGGCTCCTTTATACTCAAGAGCTCTGACTGCCTCTGCCTCCTGAGTGCTGGGATTAAAGGTGTGCACTGCCACCCCTGGTTCTCTCCAATGCTCTAGATTGGTTCCCTTCGAATTCTGGATCCTATTTACTTCTTGTACAATTATCTTAAAAGCCAGTGCTCTTACCACAGAACCATCCTTGCAGTCCCGTCACTCCAGCTTAGTATCTTGCTGTGTAGACCACACAACCACAGAATGCTTTTCCCAACTTTTATTGCCTTTCCCCCCCACAATACCTCCCCTTGCTACGAATTTCCATCCACTAATGTTTCGACTATGTTAGTCTATTTTACGTTGCTATAATAAAATGCCTGAGATGAGGTATGTTATAAAGCAAGAGATTTATTTGCCTTACAGTTATGATGGCTACAGGCTTCAAACAGCATGGAGCCAGTGTCTGGGTGACATCACCCTAGCTGTATTTGCATTTCTACCTCAGGTCAGAAAGAAACTCTGAATAATCTTCATTTGGGAGAGGAGAGATGGCAGTGTGGCCAGTTAGAGGTAAAGAGAAGCACACATGAAGCAGGGCATGGTAGCTCATGCTTGTAATCTCAGCATTCAGGAGGTTGAGGCAGGAGGAGTACCGTGAGTTCCAGGCCAGCTCAGGCTACAGAGTGAGACCACCACCCCCTGTTAAAAATTTTTAAAAATTTAAGAATTTTAAGTGGAATGATATTTAATTCCATTGGAAGCAATCCCTTCTTGTCCTGCTGGACAGAGGTGCTCCTGATGTAGCTTGGAAATGCTGTGTGATCTTAGAACAGTGATACAGACCAGCCTGAGGCTCAAGCCTGAGGACCACTGTGCTGAAGATCCAGAGAAGACAGGAGTGGGTTCCTGTGTTGTTGGCCCACTAATTAAATCCCACTTATTGACTTAAAAATATCGATTTATTTTATATGGGGAGGGTCATGCATGGTTGTGAGATGCCTGATGTGGGTGTTGGGAACTACTAGAAACTGAACTTGGGTCCTTTGCAAGAGCACTGTGGGCTTTTACCCGCTCACCTATCCTCCAGTCCAAGTAAAAAGTTTTATGTCTCTCTCCCACTGTGTGTGTGATTTGGTAGCTCTGTCCTGTATCTCCTCCTCCTTGGCTCATCTGGCCCATGTGGCCCCAAACAACAAAACAAAGTGAACTTGGAAAACCTTGCACTGTTATCCAGGGAAGGGTGGGCCCAGAAATGACACTGAACGCTCCCTCCCACAAGCCGTTGGCAGAACAAATCATGTTGTTCTCCCCACCAAGGAGTCAGGAAGTACTGTATGATCCAGAAACAGAACTTCTAAAGGAACGATAGCAATGGCTATGTGTTACTAATCAAATGGAATACAAGTAATTATGTTTTTAAAAGCTAAATGCATCTCTAGGAATGGTCTCAACAAAAATCATGGTAGGAAAAATGCATAAATAGCAGGGATGCTCATTTCACAACATCAAGGAGTGAAGGAAAATTTGAATGTTTTTAGAGCTGTATACATAATTTTTATTAATATTTTTATTAAAGGAGAAAAAGCACAAACACAATTTATTTTCCACTTAGAATTAAAGAGGGTAATTTTTGCTTTTGTTTTGTTTTTCAAAGAAGGATTTCTCTGTGTAGCCCTGACCACCCTGGAACTCACTCTGTAGAACTCACTCTGTAGACTCAAACTTAGATTAGCTTGCTTCTTGCCTCCTGAGTGCTTGGATTAAAGGCATTCACAACTACCACCTAGCTAAAGAGGATAAATTTGTTAAGTTAATTAAAAAAATGCTTTCACAGGAAATTGTAGTTGGAGTTTCTGTTCTACCTGTTTCTGCTGTGCTTCAGTCTCAAATAAACACACAGAGACTTATATTAAATATAAACTGTTTGGCCAGTGGCTTAGGCTTCTTACTAGCTAGCTCTCTCTTAATTATTAACCCATTTCTATTAGCTATGTTTTGCCACGAGGCTGTGGCTTACCTGTAATCCAGCATGTTACTCATTTGGCAGCATGGCGTCTCCTTCAATGCCTCTCTGTGTCCTCTTCCCAGAATTCTCCTCATCTCCTGGTCTCACCTATAATTCCTGCCTGGCTACTGGCCAATCGGTGTTTTATTCCTCAACCAATAAGTGAAACATATATACAGAAAATAAAACAATTGCACCTATTTTTGCAGCAACTGGATCTTACAGAAACCCAGTGTGATCTGTCACAGTTGTTCAGGGGTCATGCTCAAGAATCTGAAAGACCAGCTGTTTTAACTTCCAACTAGGATTCTTGGCTATCACTCTCTGCATCATCCAGGAGGCAGAGGAGGCCACCACTGTGGTGAGGACTCAGTCCTTGTTCATGGGCAGGTGAGCCAGCTCAGGGGACTTAGTCTGTATTCATGGGTTGGTGAGTCTTGCTGACCCTCCCAAAGCAGCAGCAGTCTGTGCTAACCCTGCAGTGGCCCAGCAGTCATCCAGCCCCTTTGTTTTGTGACAGCCTACTACTGGAAAGAGTGTCTCTGGCTTTCTCTTACAGGTGTTCCTCCATGTGTCTTGTCCTGGTAGCATGCAGCAGAATTGGAGGTGTGCTGGGGAAAGCCCAGGCTTTGGGGACAGAGTTTGTGCATCAAATCCTAGCTACTTATATCTGATTCTGAGTATTCTCTGTAAACTCTACTATGTCTTAGTATTGTTAAGAAGATTATAGAAGATTAGATCTGCAAACTAATAGGTGTACAGTACACATCCATTTCACATGATGCTTCCTTTAGAGTGTGGCATGTGATAGGTGGAGCCAAGCTTCCTGATTTAAATGTGCCCAGATCAGAGACTAAGCTGCTCTTCTTGGGGTGCATAGTCTTGTCTTAGTATTTCATTTCTGTAGCCTGAAGGGATTGGCATTATCTGTTGGGGGCCGATAGATTATATAATTAATTCACCTTGTACTTACAACCACTTTCCACTAAGTCATAGCCTTACTTAAGTTGGAGGCATTTTAAGGCCAATGTGTAAGAATTTAAATGGGATAAAAAAAAAACAGGCAGGAATAAGTATTGTTTTGACTTGCTGTTGCTGAGTCCTCTGAATCATGATCCAACCTGAAACATCAGCTGCCTCTTCAACAGTAGAACAGTCTACAAATCTGATAGAGTTGTGGTTGCCAGAAAGATCTCAGACACTCGACATAGTTTGACCCCAGCTTTGCACTTGAACTCTGGCAGCTGCCTTAGAGAAATTACCCAAGTGCCGAGCCTCAGTTTCCACGTCTACAGCAGAATAACAACAATACCTTTCCCCCAGTGAGTTGTATGAATAAATTATGTATTTTCTCTGATTTATTCAAACAATCAACATAAATCCTTGACCAGAACAGGACTGAAGTCTAAATCCTCTATGATACCATACTAGTGGCATTTTTTTTCTAGGTTGAATAAGATCTGTTCTTTGCACACACACCCTGCCAGCCCTGTCCAGCCCACACTGTTTCATCTTGCAGGTGCAGTGGGCAGACTTTGTCCAATTGCTTGCTAATATACACAAAGGCAGCTTTTTTTGGGGGTGGGTAAATGCATGTATTTTTTCCCTTCTTCCATCTCAGACCCTGGTTGGAAAGTTACCATTTTAAAATTCTCTCTTAATTGGTTCCTTCTTCTAAAGGATACATTGTGGTCTCTGGTTTCTAGGCTACTATTTCATGAGATGTCTCCTTGATGAAGTAATTTGAGTTTTTCAGGCTTCCTTAGGAGGCACAAGTGTCAGCAGTGTCTCCTGCTGAGGGTGCTGCGTGTGCATGTGTGTCTGCTGGTGCCACAGAGCTTGAGTTACATCTCTGGAACCCCAGTATCTGTACCATCAGTGGAAGCTTAGGTTCCTCATTGCTTTTGCCATCACTGTAGATAATTAGGACTCAGTAGCAGGTGATAGACTGAAACTCAACTCTAGCCAGCAGCTCAGTGTGACCTCCTAAAATCTGGGCAGACTGAAGTAGTGATGCATCCCAAAAGCCAGTCAAGGAGGAAGAATGCATCCCTGGGGACCATCACAAATAGTCCCAAGCAAGCCCACCCGTTGACAACTTTATCCAAGAGACCACCTTCCTTGGAGACCTCTCTAAGCCACACTAATCCTCCCCTGTCACAGAAGTCTTTGGGTTGGGAGGAGTTGTAAGGAACACAAATGTGGCAGGCCTCAGCAAGCACCAGTTCTGGCTCCAGAAATTTCCAGTTGTCTGTCTCAATCTGTCCTGTAAAGAAATGGAGCTTTTGGCCCAGGGAATTTTCCAAATGGCTGAAACTGTTCTGAAGGACTCTTCTCACGCCACCTCAGTTCATGTCTGTTTGTTTAGGTAACAATAACAGCAATAACCTTCCATTAAATTCTCTTCATGTATTATGTCTTTGCCTTGAATATTGTATTTTAAATATCCCAGGTGACAGAAGAGAGAATAAAGATTTCTGGTCTAGAATGGAATAGAGCATGAAGCTTCATAGTAAGCTGGCACAACGAAACAGTCCTGAAAGGGAATGAAGAATAAACAAAATGAAAAGGAGTGAGAGAGTACAGATTGAATAAAGAAAAATTGTTAGACACTACTGCAGTTAGTGATGGAACTCCACATTTTGGTTTTTTAAAAGGCAATAATAAAGGATTACATTATCTTAAAATAGTCATTAAAATTTTATCTATTGTTATGCATGTGGGTTGTTATGTGTGTTTTGTCTGCTGGTCTGTCTGTGTACCATGAACACGCAGTGCCCAAGGAGACCAGAAGAGGGGGCTTCATTCTCTGGGACTGGAGTGACAGATGGTTGTAGCACCTCTGGGTGCTGGGTATCCAACCTGACCATGTGAGAGAGCAGCCAACGCTCTTAAGCACTGACCATCTCTCCAGCCACAAAAGGCACCACTGCCACAGTGTGGTGGTGTAACCTTTAATCCCAGCAGTTGGGAGGCAGAGGCAGGTGGATCTCTGTGTGTTCCAGGCCAGACAAGGCTACAGAGTGAGACCTATCAGTAAATATTTTGAATTCTCTGACTTTACAACCCACAGTTGAAACTCACTACACCCCTAGGAGGAACCACAGCAAATTTTAAAGGGACACACGAGAAGGGCCTGCGACAGTGCCTGGTGATGGCTGGCAAGCAGAGCACTTCAGTTCCTCTCTCCTTTGTTGTCGACATCAGTGTCTATTTAAAAGTCCCGAGCAGATATTTTTGTGACTCTACCAAGAGTCTTCATTTTAAGGAACTGCTGCCGTTTCTCAAGTCCTAATACCCCAATTTACATTTTGACTCTCCTGAAAAGTGATTTTTTTTTTTTTTAGCATAAATCCAATTCAGGGGAGAAGATCTGCAGGCCTCCGGTGTCCATGCGATCACAGATCTTATTCTCTTTAACTCTAGTACTCTCTAGTGTTACAGATCCCTGCCATCTATTAAACAGTTGAATTGCTCTGGCTTTTCCCAGTCGTGGTTCATCTTCAACAGGTTTCATCTCCATGTGAGGGCAGAGGCTTAAGGACATCATGAAGTCATTCCCATAGAGGCTAGACCTGCCTTCTCCCTACTGCTAGAATTGAACTTCACATATGTAGCCAGCTGATTTTCCATTGTGACCAATTTTATGTCTCCAGGTAGTAGTTCCTTTTGAAAGTTCCCTGTAGGTCAGAAAGTCTCAGAGGGGTGGGGTTTGCTCCCTCCCTTCTAGCTGCTTAAGTAGGACAAAATTGGGGGTAGAGAGACAGCTCGGTGGTTAAAAGTACTTGCAGCTCTTGCAGAGGCTCCAGGTTCTGTTCCCAACACCTACATGCTGGCTCACAACTGTCTGTCACTCCAGTTTAGGGATCTGATGCCTTTTGCTGGCCTCCTCAGGTACCAGGCTTTGCATGTGGTACACATACTTGCAGGAGACATACACTCATAACAAACAAAATTATTATTATTTTTTTTTTTGAGGCAGGGTTTTACTGTGTAACAGCTCTGGCTGTCCTGGAATTGGCTCCGTAGACTATGTTGGCCTCGAACTCACAGAGATCCACCTGCCTCTGCCCCCTGAGTGCTGGGATTAAAGGCGTGTGCTGTCTCCTCGTGGCTGTTTTTCTTGTTGTTGGGGGGGGGCATAAAATTTAAATAAATTTAAAAAGCAGGATGAGTCTGTAACAAGAATAGAAATAATAGTAACACTAAGGCAGACAGGCATTCAAGGCCATTCCTGTTGGTCTTATCTTTGATAGGGAAGTGTATTGAGTGTTTGTGTAGCACACACCCGGCTGTGGGTTCTGTCTTCAGTTCAAGAGGGAATGGCCTCTTTGATAGCTATGTGAGGGACTAACTTTTCACTTCGGGGATTGTAGTTTGGGTTCATGCTGCTCTCAACTAGGTAGTCTGAAATGGCACAAGCAAACAAAACAAAACAAAAACAGAAAAACTCTCTGCCCTAGAAAATGTTTTGCATGGGAAATACCATGATCATATTGCTAATTCTAATTCCCATTGTGATTGTCAAGATACAAACCTAGGTGTTTCATAAAATGCTCTGGGGAACAGCTGTAATTATAAATATTCTCTGAAGACAAATCATTGCTGAAGAGCCAGAAAACAGACATCTTTGAGGCATAGACACCTTTAAATCATTAGAGTCAGAAATAAAGACCCAAGAGAAAGTCACAAAGAGCTGGAAAATGCCATGTGAGTGACACTGGGGTGCACACACCGGGGATATGCCAGTGGTTTCCACCCAGGAGACATGACCAATCTGTGGTTGCCAACTGGGTGGCCCAATCGTAAAATAGTTATTATGGTTTGGAATCTTCCCAGGGACACCTAAAGGGCTGGAGGGCCCTGCACATGGTTTCACTTTAACTCTCTCTAGATTACTGTCCCTTGCACTCAAGGCAGAGATGGTGTAGGAGGCCCTCCCAAGACACAGAGGGGTGTCTGTTCTTGGCTTTGGGAAGTGTCCCACCAGGCTTCTGTGCTTGCCAGCAGAACCCTTTTAGGCTATGGTAGATCTGGGAAAATCATCATAGTACCTTTTACTCCTTGAGATTGCCTGAGAAGATAATTCACCACCAGATGGGAAAAGGTGGCAAAGCATCGTGGCTGAGCAGGAACAGTGCCACTTCAGCACCTAATAGCCCATACCCCAGGAAACCTCTCAGGCTTGGGGGAAAGGGAGTCCGTTGGTCACTGTGAGCTCTGGTATGTCTTGCCAACTAACAGAAAGGGCTACCTAGCTAAGGCAAATGACGTCGCTGAGGCGCTGTTCCACCAGTGTTGGTGGAACTCCTCGCAAGTGACTCAGGAGCCCACTACAGCTCCAGGAGTGGAAGTAGCAGCCAAGGGCATCCTCACCTCTTCCCCAGCGTAGGAAATGGAGTTCTGAAGAGGCTGTCCTAGGAGTGGTAGACAGAGGTGAACAGTGTCCCCTCCAGCAGGCGGTGATCATGTGTCCATTCTGGGACTGCTTACTTACCTGCAAAGATCTGGATGACTCCACCTTTTATTTTCACCAACATTTGTTAAACCCGGCTAGGTAGTGACCCTTCCTGTAGGAGGCTGAAAGGTCACACATTTCTGGCTTTAGCTTCACTCCTGAAACTGCAAACAAAGACTCTTCTGTAGGGAAGAAAAGAGAAAAGCATCAATATATTAGTTCACAGTACATATATTTTGTCTGCCTGTTGTAATATCTGTTACCCAAAGAGATGTCAAAATAGGCAGACTTACTAATAATTTATACTAACTCAGGGGTGACTTACTTTACCAAATCTTTACTAGTTGTCAAGGGCTCCCTATTTAATTCAGTTCAGTACATATCCACCAAAAGAACACTAGTGGGTGAAACTGGGGAAGGGTCTGGAACCCATGGTGAAGAGTTAGAAGGTCATGCCAAGGAGTCTAGACTGCAGTCCCAACAAGGACAGTCAAAGAACATCGCATGGGGCTGAATACACGGTGGAAGGTTAACCCTGTCAGATAACATTAGTCTCCAGAGCAATGGCTCTCAACCTGTGGGTCACGACCCTTTTGGGGTTACATACCAGATAATCCATATTCCAGATATTCTGCGTGTCAGATATTTATGTTGAGATTCATAACAGCAAAAATGCAGTTATGAAGTAGCAAGAAAATAATTTTATGGTTGGGGGTTATTATGAGGAACTGTATTAAAAGGTCGCCACGTCATGAAAGTTAAGAATCACTGCTCTAAAGAGAGCTAAGGCATGAATTTGATGAATTAAAAAAGAACTATTTAAAATATCTTTTTGTGGTGCCTTCATCCTTATCCACAGACAGATGTTCCTTGACTTACCATGGGATATATCCTGGTAAACCACTGGAAGTCCTTGGGTTCAATCCCCAGCACAAAAGAAAGATAACAGATACCATACACCAAAAATGTAAACTTGATTTTCTGTGTATGGGTGCTTTATCTGCATGTATGTTTGTGTACTATGCATGCAGTACCCGTGGAGGCCAGAATGGGGCATTGGATCCCTTGGGACTGGAGGTTCAGACAGTTATGTGCTGTGGTGTGGGTGCTAGGAATCAAACCTAGGAACTGGTTCTCTGGAAGAATAGCTTTTTTTTTTTTTTAACCACTGAGACATCTCTCCAGCTCCATTAAAAATGCATTTAAAAGGGCTGAGAGGTGGCTCAGTGACTAAGAACACCAGTGTTTTTTTCAGAAGTCTTCAATTCTCAGCACCCATATGATAGCTTCCAATGGTCTATACTGTAGTCCTACAGGATCTGATGCCCTCTTCTGGTACGCAGACATACATGCAGGTAAAATGCCCATATACATAAACAAATACAAAAATGTATTTAATATGACCCCATTTCAAAACAGTAACAACAACAAGCATTTAACACACCTAACCTGTGGAACATCAGAGCTTAGCAACACTGTACACAGTAGAGCTGGTTGTTTCCCTTGAGACTGTGAGACTGGGAACATGTACCAATCTGCCACCACCCTGTGAGGAGAGAGTACATCACTAGACCCCCAAATGGATCAAAACTTGGTACAAAGTCATCCCTTGTGCCATGGTTCCAGGACTACTGTATGTGCCAAATGATTCTAAGTCTCTCATGTAAAGCAGAACTGTATGTGCGCATATTACACACACACACACACACACACACACACACACACACACACACACACAATGTTGTGTCCTTTAAATTGTCTCCAGATTGCCCATCACACCTAATGTGGTACACACTGTATAAACAGTTACACACAAGAGAAAAGTTGGCCCATGTTAAGCTCATGGTCCCCTGAATATGTGGGGTTGTCTGAATCTGAAAGTGATAGATTCTACAATCAGGGGACCCATGGTCATGGAAGGCCCCTTCTAGGGTTCCTACTGACTGCACATGGCTCTTAAATGTAAACATTGCTGATCATGGATGGCCTGTATCTGATTGGTTGGGCACCCTGGCAGTTTGCAGTTCCAGAGATGCCTGTGTTTATCACACACCCACTGTCTCTGAGTGCGCTCAGTAGAGTGATGGGCCAAGGTCTTCCAAAGGTAACATTCAGTTAAGGGACTCATTTGCATGAGAGGAAAACAAAACTTCCCAGAAGATTGCTGTGAGCTAAAAAACATGAGCATGTTCAGGACACCTTCCACAGTTCCTGACATGCAGGAGGCACTGAACAGTTGTCATTGTTGGGGTCATGAGCAGAGCAACATAGGAGACTCAGTTCAGCAAGGCATGTGACAGTAGTTGCTTACAGAATCCTTCCCACCCAGGCATTGCTTTTGCAGGCTCACAATCTGCAGGAGCCTGGGTTGCTCCAAATAGCTCAATATGTATGAGAGACAGAGCTCCTGTGCTTGGCACACCAGAGGCACATAATGTCTTAATGATACTGTTTGCTTGGAGCTGTTCACACCCAATGAGAAGAAAGAAACCATGCTGTCAGCCCTGCCTTGCTTGGCCTGGACTTCTCTGCTTCGATGCTGTGGGAAACCTGTGCTTCTGACATCTTTGGTTTGGAATTATAGATTTGCCAAGCTGGCATGGGGAGCAGGGTAAGTTTTTGCTGATCTGAATAAGACATTTTTCACAGGGATACTAGCATATGCCCTTGTGTACTCTCCTTTAGCTCCCATCACAGCATAAACAGTTAAACGGCTAAAGTGAACAGTGTGTACTCTTTACAGACAACACTGTAAACTCAAATACCAGCTGATTTAAGAGTTTGTCTCCACAAGAAACCTTGTCAGACCTTGGAGACAGTGGCATGAAAAGCTTGGGCTTCCCTGAGGCTTCTTTGCTCCTTGAAAGTAGGGATGGGGATGTAGGAGGGGGGAGGGGAAGAGAGGGCGGGTAGGGAAAGGAGGAGAGGAGAGGGGAGAAAGAAGAAAGGAGAGGGAGAGAGGGAGGAAGTGAGAGAGAGAAAAAAGAGAGGGAGAGGGGGAGAGTAGGAGAAGGAGAGAGAAAGGGGGAGAGAGAGAGAGACTGAGAGACTGAGAATCTAATCAAAAGGATTCAAGTTGGCCTTGGACTGCCAGACTCTCCTTCCTAACTCACTGTAAAAGAAAACGAAAAAGCAGGGAAGAAAGAGATGGAAAGGGAAGGGGAGAAGAGGGGAAGGCAGTAGACGGCTCTCCCTCGGTAATCTCAGCAAGGCAAGCCCTTCCACTCCAGTGACTGCTCATTAGCTTAGTGAATCTGACAGCGTAATTATCGCAGCTGCTTTGCGCTTAGAATAAATAAATACGAAAGTGGGTGCTCAGAAGTTTTCTGAGAAGGAAATTCAGTCATCTAGACTGTCGGGAAGACAAGTTTACTTAAAACTTTTTAGATTCTTCTGTATTTAGATCACTTCAGAGGAGATAATGAGATAGTTGCCTCTCAGTCTAATTGAGTTCCTCAGCTCCTGGCAGTTGGCTGTCACCCCTTTCAGACCCCGCTTTGACTTTCTTCCTTAGAAATCGGATCCCAGAGTCTCCGTTTACTCTCCCTACACTGATAACCTGGGGAAGGCCGGTGCACTGGAGTGCAGAAAGTGACTTAATGGGATTGGGGGCTGAATAACCTTCACAGGAAACAAGATAATCAAATCTCCCTTGTTGGTACTGGCTGAAGGAGAGAGCCGGAGTTACAAAGAACTTGGAAATTAAACTAGCCTTGCAAAATGTCCTGCTCTTTCCCTCATCACATGGATGCTTCACCATTCTTACACATCATCAGTTCATCTGCTAAAACTGCTTATTGTGTGCGATTATTCAGAGTGCACCCTTCTGCAAAGAAGACCAAAATCCTAGCTCATGTGTATGCATGGCAGCTTCATATCCTCAAAGCCCAAGGGATCACAGAGTACCTTAAATGGAAGTTGCTAACTAACATGGAGTACACTTACCACTCAGACTAGGGCCTGGTACACACACACACACACACACACACACACACACACACACACACACACACCTCCCATTAAGGCAGATAATCTTCCCTTTTAAAGTTAATTAGTCCCTATTTGTCTTTCCCTCTCCATCTTGCCTCTCCTAGAGCCACACTTCCACAAACCCTTGTATTCAGTGAGCTGAAGGTTTTGTAAATGTTCAGTTCATTCTGGGATAAAAAGGAACCTAGTGTTAACCCACTGTGCAGATGGAAAAATCAAGGCTTATGAAGGCCACTGGTGCATCTGGTTTTTTGGGAAAGGAGGGGGGTACCCAGAAAACATAGATTTTTAATTCTCAGTCCTGAGCTTAGAACCCTTGTGCCACTTTGGTCTGACTTGTTAAAACAAGGATATGATATCACCAACATTAAAGAAAATTCTGAAAAGGAGGGAAAATGATCTACAACATTTTTATTCTCTATTTTAACTTTCAGTTTTGTTCATATGCAAATAACTTTCATAAGTAGAGTATAATGTGCCATTTTGTATTCTTGGTTTTGGTTTTTGAGTCAGTGTCTCACTGTGTATTTTTGGATGGTCTGAAATTTGCTATGTAGGCCAGGCTGGCCTTGAACTCATAGAGAACCACCTGCCTCTGTCTTCTGAGTGCTAGAGTCAAAGGCATTTGTCACCATGCCAACTGGCTTTTCTCTTCTTCCTTTTCCTCCTTTCTCCCCTCTCTTTTCTGTCCTTTATTCTTTCCCTCTCCCCCTTCCATTTTGAAAGATGGCATTGCTATGTGACCCAGGTTGCCTCCAAACTGTTTTGCAACTAACTGCCTGGCTTGTTTGATTATTTTTTTTTTTTAAGCTGCTCAATTGTTTAGCCAGGTAATTTCAGGGATAAAAGTATCTCTATTATGAGAGTTTTGTGTAACTCCTCATACATAATGTTGGTTGGATCTGATATTGATGGAAGTCACAGTCACCGATCTACACTCCCATCAACAGAGAATCATTTGATTGTCACCTTCTGGGAGTCACTGGGTAAAAGGAAAACAAAACAAACCAAACCCTAATTTAACAGTTACTTTACTCTACCCCCACAGAAGCTGTCCTCCACTTGACAGTGTGCTGTTTTTGCTTCCTCCAGAGTAAATTGCTATTTCATGTCTTTCCCCTATTTTCATCTGCTGCTTATTTTTCTTGCAAAAACAGTTATAGAGTGAAACAAAAACAATAACCATCCCTGA